TCCCAGACCTTTCTGATACAATGGAACTAGACTTTGAAATTTGGGGGCCCGGATGTCTCAGTCGGTATAGTGACAGGCTACGGGCTGGCCGGCCATGGTTCGATTTCCGGCAGGGACAAGAGATTTTTCTCTTCTCCACAGCGTCCAGACCAGCTCTGGGGCCCACGCAGCCTCCTGTTCATTGGGTACCAGGGCCTCTTTCCCTGGGGTAAAGCGCCTGGGCCGTGAAGCTGACCAATCACGTACGTAGTGCCAAGGTCAAGAATACTGCAGCTATACCTCCACTCTCCATGGCGTGGTGCTTAATTAAGCACAGTGACAACTTTACTTTAACCCTAGCTGTAAAGTGTAACTTAGCAAGGACACGGTATTTTGAAAATGTTACGAGTGTACGCAGAATAGTAATTGCGTCTTTACGGTTCTCTTCATTTTGTGGAGTCTGAATTTTTTTGGATTAACCTTACTAGGATCTTGTAGCCTTGTCACCGTTTTACGTGGTTCAGTAGAATATCACAGTGTCTTGGTCACAAGGAAGTTCTACCTGGAATTTTCAGGAAAGCATAGAGCATCTTGTAACTTTCATTCACCATTGAATGCCGACTGGCTGGCCATTGAATTACCCTGGTTGGCAGAATTGAGGACAAGGGTAGCGGAGAGAGTCCATTTGCCCTCATTCCATCCTGACGGTTACGTTGTCTTCATAAGCAGACTGTAATGTAATCAGTTTCCGAGTGTAACATTGGTAGAATCCGTTGTTGCTAAGAATATCGGACGAATTTTATTTTCCATTCATTGGTTTGAAACGTAATCTTCCGAAATATCACGAATTAGCTTTTTAAAGAAGTCGAAGGTGAACTTCTTATAGCATAACATTCCATATTATGAAACTGCGTTTCGGAGGAACGTGATGAAGATGGATATGGTACGTTTTTTCCGAAACGACGGTAAATTTATACCAGCCTACACGACAGCTCAGAAGATAGTAATTCTTTATAGTAACCGCCGTGAGAAGCTCAAATCTGGCTTCGATTTGGGTTACTTTAATTATAGTTAATTATACTGTTTTCAGTAGGTAAAAGAGAAAGGTACCCCTATGCTTAATTAAGCACCACCCTATGGAGGCTTGTGGGAAAATGGAGGTATAGTTCCACACATGCTTGACTTCGGCATTAGATGGGGGTGGTAAGCCTCATGTACTTAACCGCTTTATCCCGGACAAGAGCCCCCCGGTACCCGTCGGGTAGAAGGCTGGGTGGGTACTATAGCCATGTTGGATGCTGTAGAATTACCTTCCCGGAAATCGAACCACGTATGTTAACCCGGCTTCTCAGTAGGAGAGAGAGAGAGAGGGATCGCAAATTAAAAGTTGTACGCCCCGAATGCTGTCCAGGTAGAGAACTGGCTGGCCCATACAGTATGATCACTTTGGAACTCGAATTTCATGAATCACAAAACTCGTTATATATGTGTGAATCCATGGAATTTAAATGCTGTAAGTTGACCGGTTCTGGGGTCCGCCCAACCTCCTATCCATTGGGTACTGGAGGCTCTATCCTCAGGGGTAAAGCTGCCGGAGCCTGAAACTGACCACTGACCTCAATCTGGTGCCGAGGTCAAGAAAATCTGCATTTACTAATACATCCCCTTCCCCAAACGTCTTCATGACGTAGTGGTTAATTACTTAAGCAGAGGGACAATTACATCTTACCTTAAGTAGATATTCATATGATTTTTTGGGCTTGGTTTCTTTGTTAATGATTATTGCATTATTTTGATACAGAAAAGATTCGAAACCAGTAGGTGTACAGAGAAATGACGTTCGTCTGATGAATTGGTTTTATTTCGTCACAGAAAAGAAAGCAGATCTAGCTGTTTCGAAACCGGAAAGTATGCGTTGTGCTTAGTTCGCTGTTTCATTGAAAGGAAAGCTTGCTAGTTGCATTTTTCAACCTGTGTACCGCAGCACGTGTGCCTGTTACACAATCTCATGGGTCGTGGCAAGAAGGACTCTACCCCAGCCTCTCTGTATTTTTCTATTACCAGGAAATTTGGAATATAATAATAATTTGATACCTTTCATCCAGCCACACCCCATGTACATCATTTATATTCTACCCCTTTCTGCTATAATTGTGTTCAAGTGTAGGAGGCTGTTGTCTTATGGCCTTAATGGAAGAGGTGAAATTCATATTTGGCGGAAGACCTCTTACCAAAAAAAAAAACCGTCAAAAGCCCGAGAACAAGCTGAGAGGATAACAGTCTTCAGATTCTGCGTCCTCTCAGCCCCGTTTCATCATTCCATTGCATGTCGTCAGTAGGAATACCCCATACCAAAATATTAACATCACAGTACGGACTGTAAGAAAAGTTTTGCAGAATTAAAATTCTGTAGACACACACGCTGTCATACGTTAGCCCCAAGTGACGATACGTTCAGTTGATCGCATGTTATTGCTGCAGCAGCTCAACAGAATTGTACTAATTTTATTATAGCGTTTTATTTTAACAAAAGACTATTCATACACTTCTGTAACAAGATTAGATATAAACATGTCGTATTATATAGTCACAGTTGTTAGAATAAAGAAAATTCGCACACATTTCTCTATATAGAGGTAGGACAAAATAATGGAAACACTACAGATACTGTACAGATTTCTTCATTAATATGGTGTGGGACCACATTTTGCCTTCAGTACAGCTACAGTCCATGGAATGGACTCATGCAAGTTTTGAACAGCCTCTAGCGGAATTATGTACCATTCTTCTTGAAGAACATCTTCATGTTGCTTTAGAGATGTTGGAGGTGAGTATCTGTTCCCCATTCTAGTCTCCAGAATTGACCAGAGTGGTGTAATAATGATCAGATCTGGTAATTGTGCTGGCCAGGGAAGATAAAGTTCAAACTCATGTTCCTCAAACCATAACTGAACATTTCCAGCTGTGTGAATGGCGGCATTGTCGTCTTGGAGAACTGCATCGTTGTTCAGAACTAACGTCTGGATCATGGGATGCACCTGATTACCCAACCTGTCCACGTACTCCCTTGCAGTAATTCGGCCATGAAGGGTGATAGTGGGACCAACAGAATACTGTACCACGATATTGCTGCCCAAACCATCCCCCCCCCCCGGTGTTTTACTGTAGGAACCAGGCATTCATCATTGTAAGCTTCTTGGGTGTCCTCCAAACACCGTTAAGGGCCACTCATCTGACCATATCACACTCGTTCCAGGTTTTGTGGTCTTGGCACCGTCGTTTACTAATCTGAGCATTTTTTCAGTAATCAGAGGTTTGGCAGTTGCAGCTCTGCCGTGGATGGTGGATTTATGAAGCTTACGTCGAACTGTTTTTATGGAAACATGGCCTTCAAGATGAATATTCAGTTCTGCTGATCTGTCACCTATGCTGCAGTAGATCTGTGATTTTTTAAAACAGTCCGCAGTGTCCGACGATCTCTCTTCTGTCAGTGTTGATTTTCGCCCATTGTGCCTCTTTGATGTCTTCCCATGATTCGTGTCTGCCGACATAAGCTTCGAAACTGTCCCTCTCGATACACTTAATAATGTGTCAGTTATTGTCACAGTTGCTTCAGCTAAACGCGCACCAACGGTCCGGCCTCTTTCAAAATCGGACAGGTCTCCCATATTCCAATTCTTTCATATGGACTGTCACTCAGCACAATCACAAATGCACTTACACGAGCACTACAGAGTGTAAACAAATGGAAGAACATTCAGTGTTGCCAACTGAAGTTCTATCAATGTAGCCAACGCAGATTTTGTCCTCAGCTGGGGGCGATCCATCCACTGGGATATAGCGGCCCAGTCGTGAAGCTGGGCCCCTCAATCTAGTGCCGAGATAAAGGATAGTGTAGCTATATCTCCATCCACCTTCCCAAATGCCTTCAGGCCGTGGTCCTTAATTAAGTACAGAGGATCTTTACCCCTTTTTGTACAGTCCAGCTGTCACTGACAGCAGGTTATGGTTAAGTAGTGACAGTGGTGAAAATTTTAGTAGTGTAACCACACTGAAAAATTGACGTTTCATTAATAAGAAAGGTATCGCGGGATTGCTGCTGGATATGTGCCCCACTGCATTTATTCTAGCAACATGGAACGTTGATCGAAGTTAGTTAATTTGAAACTTTTCGGTGATCATAAATCTATTCGTGGTGAAAGAAATATATCTTTCAGGTGATGTTCCGCGTTTTACGTGAAACGTTCATTTATTTTGGTGGGTTGTTTAGCGCTGTCAGTGTCTGGAGTGTATAGCATCGGTTAATCGATGGTTTAGATAGGATTTGGAAGGAAGCGATCGTGATCTGATCGAGGTACGAACCCAGAATTTGCTGGGAGGCCGAGAGATGTCTCCGTTGGTGAAACTGTCGAGTTCGAAACTAGCACCTCCCGATTACAAGTCTAAAGCGTTGCTGCTCCGGCAACGTGTTTGATAATGTTTGGTTATGTTCAAAGAAGAACAAAGATCCTAAAGGGTTCTGACGATGGTGTGTATATTACTCAGAATTGCTGGATTTTTGGGCATTTTCCGTCGTCCGGAATTCGAGAGAACAGAAAACACGACGTTTCGGAAACTGGATCTGTTTCCGTCCCCAGATGAGGGTGAAGACGCATACTCAGTTGGGTTCCTTAGAAAGAGCTAACCTCAGTCACTGGAAGTTAGCTCTTTCCAACGGTCCCCCCCCCCTCACCCGAGAATGGAAACAGGATCCAGCTTCCGAAACGTCGTGTTTTCTAGTCTGTAGAATATCGGACGATGGGAAAAGCCCAGAACCCACTAATCCTGAAGAACTACGCTGTTACCGCTTTTGCAGTGCAGGTTACTACTGTGCGTGAGTTTCAAGTGTCAGGAACATTCGGTAGTACTCGGCATTCCGTTGCCGGCACACGATGCGTTGAAACCTCATAGTGCAACTCGACGAGTTGGAAGCTGCGTGCTGTGCGCATGAACTGGGCGTTCCTCCCCCGCGAGAACATTGGGGTTGGGCGATCATTTGCTATGGTGCCACATTGAAGCGTCTTGGTGGAGTTCGTTGCCATGTTTTCAAGGCCGTTTAGGATGTAGTACATAGTGCAGTTGAAGCTGTGGAGGGTCAATGAATCCGCTGCTGATGAAACATGGCATCAGTGGCGAGAAGTCAATGCATATGCGTCTAACATGTCAACAAAGACCCTGACATCCATGGTTATTGCAGATTATTCTAACATTTCGGAGTTTGTAGGAGCGCGTATTCGGAATGAATGGTCGTGTTTCTGACCGTGTGTTTAAGTGCTCTCAGTTACGTGAAGATGAACTTGGAATGTCCTATTCAGCGATGGTGCATGTCAGTTGTGATATTTTGAGTATTCTTTGTTTAATTCTAGGGGATACTCCAAGGCATCGGAAGATTAGCTGAAATGTTCAGCTTTCACAAGCCAAAAGTATATAGGTCTTCCACGGGCTGCTGCATATGTAGGGCAAAATCCAGCAGGTAAGTTTGCATTTGTGTTGCTGTTTTCAAATTACCCCACGCGGGACGTATGAAAGTTTCCATGACTGAAGTACATTAAAATCTTGCTGCAGACATTTTGTAAATGCCGTAGCACAGATGCGGAAGAGACGTGCATGGTAATGTGTACGTATCGCATAACTCTCTTAACCGAACATTCGTTCTCTTGGGAATTCATAGAATGCGTGCAAATATAGTAAAATACATTAATTCAAAGTTATTCCACAGTTTCAAAAGTAATGTACAAATTTAATCCAAAATGCCGAAATTTCTAATAATTTTTAAGAGATACACTTCTCGGTGGGAAAAATTGAAATGATGTCATATATCTTGTGAAAATACCGTACCAGTTTTCACTGACAAGGTCTCAGATGACTATCCACATAAATTTCCTGATGGTGGAGGTAGAGAAGGTCCCTCAAGTGCTGGGCTTCTGCTACAAATTGATTCGGCTGTACACCCAGAAAGATTTTATCGCTTTTAGTTCAGAGAGATTCATATTGTCTGTTCATAGATCATTGGCAGTATACAATCAATTGCAGTTAATCTGCATCTACAGTAAACCTGTAAATCCATAGTAGTGTGTTCATTGAAGAGGGACAGGCTTAGTCATCTGAATTGCTCTCCCCCTCATGGGTCTCTCTGAGGTTAATAGTAAGACACGTGAGGGTGGAACCTCGCTTAACGAGCATAATCCGGTCCAGAATCTTACTCATAATGCGAAACACTTGTTAAGCGATATAGTTTCTCCCATATAAATTAATGTAAAATGCGATAATGCGTTCCATGCCGAAAAAAAATACTCAAAAAATTTTATGTATAACGTTTTTTCAAAGAAAATTATATATGCATTGTTAAGGAGCGTGAATCATCATCTTTTCTTGTATGCGGAATGAACCAACCTACAATGCAAATTCGATTTGCAGAAAACAAAAAAAAAACAAATCGAAATAATTAGTTTATTATTTATGATACATATCTAATTCTTTTTTACTAGAAAGCTGTCTAGAGACATTTGTTTTTGCCGACACATCAAAATTTGGTGAAAATGCGACATAGCATTATCATTAAATAAATTTGTAGCGCGTATAGCCACTACCTTATTAGGGTGATGCTTCTCAATGTACGATGCAACAGTTTCCCATGCTTTCAGCATTTCTCTTATTGCGCCAGAAGATTGTTGCTTTGCTGTTACCTCCTCCTCCTCCTCCTCCTCTGACAAGCTCTCATCCACAACTTCTTGCTGTGAAACACAATGCAACTCCAAATCGTGCAAATCGTAGACCAATTGTATGTGCATGCTAGATCAGCCACGCTCACACCTCGTTCTCACTTTTCAATGATTTTACGTTTCATTTCTACGGTTATTTTTATTCTCTTATGGCTATTTTTTTGCGGCCTTTTCTTCGGGGACATTTTTGCAAGGGTTATTAAACTTTGCACAAAAAACGATCACAAATAATATGTCTGAACACAAGTTTGGAAAAATGTGTGATCACAAGCGACACTAAGATGATAGCGGAAAGAGCGCTAAATACAGACTGATGTAGCAAGCGCACAATCCGGGATTCTCCTCTCGTCACTCGTTAAGCGAGTCTTTTTTGTTTGTTTGTTTGTTTTACAATTTGTTTTGCTTGTTATGCGAATTACTCAGTATGAGAGGTGCTTGTTAAGTGAGGTTCCACTGTATGTTGACTAAGGTGACAGAATGGCAGTAAGTATTTGATACAATGCCAGATGTGGAAGTGGTTATAAATTACAATTTGGAAGGGCTTCCTCCTGCTGACTTCATGTGGTGCTTCAATGGAAACAAAATATTTTGCTATGTTTCCTGCAGTTCTCTGCAGAATAGAATTGTTGAAACCAGTGTATGTGTTGCTAGTCAGGTCAGACCTGCAATTTGAAGATGGATGTGGTTAGGTAGGATGTTCATGAAACCCATCAGTATTCATTTTCATGACAAAGTGACGACATTTGCTCATACACAACAAACAGGCCACTCTATTGTCTCTTTCTCAGTTTTAGGTTCCGATGCCTGCTAGTTGCACTGGGTGTCCAAATGCAGACACACATTTGGTTGTACTACAGCTCAGTTACCTTCACCCAAAACTATAGTTCACCACAAGATAAAAAATAATATAGAATATCAACGATTATAGTAAGCAGATAATTTAACCCTTACACTGCTGTGGTCGGCATATGTCAATCTCTGAAAGACATGGCATCCTTGCTGCGATCGACAAAACCGGCATTGCGACTTTAGAGTTTCAAATCTCAGGTTTCTTTGCACCAATCTCATTCAAACTTGGCGGCTGCATAGAGTCATCTATTGCAGGGGTCTCCAAACTTTTTGAAACACGGGCCACATTAGGTAATTCAGCACTTTCAACGGGCCAGATAAAATGAGAAATTAATAACTCTAGGTATATAAGTTTTATTGAAAGCACAGAATTTCATAAACTAAATATAAAGTACATGAGAATAAATTATCGTATATTAATGACAACAGACAGTAGCAGCAAATGCTCATATTTTCATCACAAATTATAATAAAACAATGTGAATGATGGAACTCTTTTTGCATGCTTAAAATCTGATTAAATTGAGGTTCAAATTTTGAAATGCTAATCACAAGTAGCGACTTTTTAAAGTCGCTACTTGTGATCGGATAAATCATCGGATAAATTTGCCCTGTATTTCAAATTGATGTACTTCATCTGGGAAGAAGTTTGTTCACACAGATATGTTGTCCCAAAAGTGGAGATAAATTTCCAAGCAAATTTCTTTAAATTTGGAAATTTGTCAGAGTTCAGAAATTTATAAAATTTGATCAAATTTCCTTCCTTGTATTTGTCTTTAATATGATAATTTTCCTGAAGTTCAATAATTTCCATTTGAATTTGACTTGGGACTTCTGCAGCATCACAGTCAAATGGATTTTGAAACAATCTAATTTCCTGAGCACTAGAATCCAAATCAGCAAATCGCTTCCAAAATTTTTCTTTCAAATCTAAAATTGTGAATAATATTGATATATACATAATATAGAATATCAATATATTTTAAACACAATCTTTATTAATGAATTTGAAATCTATGAACAAGTATTTTCTTTACCAGTACTCATTGGAAAATTAGTTCAGTTGGTGCATCTCTGCACAGTTCTTTTGCGGGCCATAGTTTGGAGACCCTTGATCTAATGGGAACATAATGAAGCATCATTCATTTCAATGGCTGCCTTCTTCTGCCCTCTAGCTTAAGAAATGTAAAAGGTTGCATCTACACAGCGAGGCATGCCCTCCATGGTCATGTGGCATGGGTATTTCACAGGTCTAGTAAAAATGGCTTCGTATAATATACAATGCTTTCTGTAATAGTTTTAAATAAAGTTGTGGACTTTGGTCAACATATGACATAGTGATAAGACTAGGATAGTGAATTGTGTACTTTTTTGGCCATCTTGGACAGCTATGATTGAATGGACTTTTCCTCTGAAAAATACTAAGTAATTCAACGTTTTTGCAACTTCTGATGCCTGTTCCCTGTCTGGGGTAAGATTAGTTACATTTTATTGCAAATTGTCATACTTTGCAGTTAAATCATTTATAAAAGATTTATTCAAAAATAATTCAGCACAGAGGGTACTGAGAGTTACTTAACATACTAGCATTGAAAGGGTTAACATACAATAGACAGGCTTGAAGAGTATGCCAGTGAAGAAACATATAACAACAGTAAGGAAAAGAGACCTTCAAGGTAGGTCATTAGTACAGAATTGCAACCTGATCAGATCATTTAACAAAAAGACTTAGGAACGAAGTTCTGCTAAGGCTGGCGTTGTTGCTAGATATATAAAGACTTAAGCAGAACTTGTAACCCACATACACACAGACAGGATCACACCTAATAAGGCAGACAAGCCCTCCTTACATAATTGCAGAACAAGCATAGACACAGAATACATTACTCATGAATACAGTTAGCAAGGTTACAGTAATTACCAAACAAAGTAACATAATCCACAACTTTAAACATTCATGAGTATATCCTACATGGTCTACATACCAGAGGAACCAAAATACCTTGTCCCATGTGGCTGTTGCACTTGTCTTGCCAGTACCAGTTATTATAACAACTCATGACAAGGACATACTTATCTGGTGTTCCATCTGTAACAAATCCAAACTTAAGTTCTTAAATCTACATGACAGTCACACAAGACCAAAAGGGAATTCTGTATGCCTTCACATGAGGCATCAGAGACAGGAACTTGGCAGTACAGTACTGCCTAAGACACAAATGTCAGTAGTAGAGAGGAGAGAAGGGATTTGTGGCAAGGCAGTATGTGACATCGACATGTTAAGGATTTGGGGCACCTGATGTCATGGGAAATCAAGAAACATGGAATAGATTACAGCTAGTCATACTATGAGCCATATGAAAGAGCCTGCAGTGATGCTGCACGGGTCAGTAACAAATGCATGAGAAGAGATGGTCCTCATTATACGTGTAGAAGAGTTTGCAGTAAGGATGTTTTTTAAACGTTTCCTGTTATTTGTGTGTAAATTGAAACCATAGAATACAGGCACATGAAATGCAACTTTCTCTGTAGACAGATTTTTGTAGCTATGCTTCATACATTCTGGCCTGGTCTGGCCTGAACTCCAGTAGGTTCAATTTATTGTAGTCTGGGAGATTCAGATTATAGGACTGTACCATATGGCAGTACATAGGTGATTGATGAAGGTATCAGTTTGGTCATTTTGAAACTTTCAGCAGGATATGAATCATTTAATTAATTTTGGGAGTTTCATATTTTTTTAGTGACTTCTGTCACAACACTTCTACTTGCCATTCTGAGACATTTATTACACTGACTGATTAATAGACATTCTTTTATTGTTACAGCTCGAGGTTTACAGACAGCAAGAAATATGAAGATGACTTCATGGATTGTTTTCAGCTCCATGAGCGTCGCTCAGGTGAAATTTGCAACGCCTGTGTGTTATTGGTGAAGAGGTGGAAGAAGCTGCCTGCTGGCAGTGAACGTAATTGGCGTCATGTGAGTGTAGTCCTTATGAGTATGCTGAAAATCTGTTCTGCCTTGGCCTCCTAGAACACATGCATCCTTACCTTTGTGTCTTACAGAAGTACAGAGAGCTTTTTTAACTTTGTTGACTGGTTCAGAGCTCTGTGTTTCACGGCGACCGCTGCACTTCTTGCTACAAGGTGCATACAAATTTTGCCAATGAATCAGAATGCCTGATGGCTGGTAATGTTTAGAATGAAGGCAAGTGTACTGCTTGACAGCATTATGTTTCATGGTGAACAGTGCAGGTCATGCTGGGAGTTTGTTTATGATTTGTCAGCAGTAGGCAGCAGTAATCAGCTCCATTAGTAATTTTTTCTCTGTTACAATTAGTAAGCAGTGTGGTTCGTCGTGGTGTGTCATCGTGTATATCTATCTGTATGACACCTATGTGAAATACCATATTTACGCATGTATAGGCCGCACATTTTTTGCCAAAAATTCAAGAGGAAAACTGGGGTGCGGCTTATATTCGAAATATTCGAAATCACACTTCATTTAAAAAAAAATATATTCATAATTAGTAATACAGGGTGTAATACTCCTGAAATAATATTCCAAGAAAATTATTTTTTCTATAATTTCTGTCTGAAAATTGTGCTGCGGCCTATACATGCGTAAATACGGTACATATCTTCAAGAAAATGTCAAAAATTTACATAAATTTCATAATTAATATGTTTCCAGCAGACAGACAATTCACAATTTGGTGAATAAACATAAAATAATGGAACTCTTAATGAACAGGAAACAGAAAAAAAAATAAGCACTTACTGAGGAGAAGTTAGATGACATAAGGGCCAAACTTGAACATACACCTAGAAAATCACTGAAACATCTAGCTCAAGAGACAGTGTGTCAAAGTCTAATGCAAGAATAACAACACAATTGTTGAAGCTTAGAACAACAGTAATCCACACACAGCTTACAGCCTTGTGATCCAGCTAGCAGGGCTCATTTTTGCAGTTGGTTTCTACAATCTGTTGTTGAAGGTGAATTCGCTCCACAATTGACATTCTTTTCTGATGAAAATTGGTTTCACTTGCAGGAATACATAAATATGCAAAATAATCGCTACTGGAGTTTGCAGAATCCACATCTAACCCGCGAAGTCTTGCTTCATCCAGTGAAATTTGATGTCTGGTGTGCTCTAAGTGCAAGAAGGATTGTCATACCTGTGGTTTACTAATGAAACAATTAATGTAGAGGGAGAGCATTATCAACACCACCTGTGATATGTGAATTTCAACTATTTCATCCTGAATATTATTGGCCATCAGGCATGCAGATTCACTGACAAAATTCATATGCATCTTCTGGCAAGTGATGTCCTGGTTGCTGTGAAGCACAGAGCCATGGAACCGGTCAACAAAAGAAAAATCCTCCTCGTACTTGGCATTGTGTGTAATACATAATTTTATTCTTATTGCAGTCATCATGGATAGTTAACCCTTCCAACCAAAGTAGAATTTGCAAAATAAGTAGCATTTATACTACTTAGCATGTTTTGTGATTAATTCATGAACTGTTTTGTTAGCATGCTGCAGAAACTTTGTATGTTGTGCTTCCGCCCCTCTGCTGATATAATGCTTGTGCGTAGCGGTGCGCATATGCAAGTACATCTGCCAAGTTTTAATTTCATATGGGCCAGTGGATGAAAAGGCCCAGGTCTCTTTTTTTTTTTAATCTTTCCCGCTTCATTTCTTCCAGACTCTTTCTTCTGTTCATCTTGTCTTCAAGAACCTGGCTAAACTGTCTTAATTCTGAGTCATCCGTACATGTCTCTCCTCCTTCGACATAAAGACGTTTTGGCATGTTCCAATTCAGAATTATCTTCTGAAATTATGAAACATACAAGTATTTGTTAGGTTTGCAAATATTTTATTACCATTTTGTAATTTTTCAGGTTGTGGATGCCCGTGCTGGTCCAGGGACCAAATCTCTAACAAAATTCAAGTCCAAAAACAAAAAGAAATTGAAACTGAAACCAGAAAGTATGCAGAAGGTTGAGAAATTCATCAAGAAGAAGCATATATATATGAAGAATGATCGGTCAGGCCGTGAAGAGAGTCCAGGAGCTGTTAGTGATGAAATCACAGGTATAGCCTCTAATATTTGAGTGAACTATATAAGTAAGATCCTAATTGTATTATTCTTTCGTTTCACTGTTTTCCCATCATGAACAGCAGTACAGTACTTGAAGGAAGCAGAAGAAGCAAATGGATATGCACGATCTGAAAGTTGAAAAGCCATAACCTGCTGAACAGGAACCACTGCTTTCTGATACAAAAAAATGACATCAGTTTCAAAAGCGTGAAGAGTAGAAACTCTTGCTATGGCCTTCTTACAGGCCAATATTTAACAAAGCAAACAGTCAGCATGATGCTGTAAGCTGCACATTGTCACTGGATTCTGACGGTTCTGAATGTATGACATGAAAACATGGCCGATGTGTTTGCTGTTTTACAAGTCACATAGTAAACTACTAGCTGTGGTGTGAATGTCACTTCTAAAGTGCATCCATTGAAGTAAGTAACAGTAAATGTTAAGGCTGCTGTAGATATTTCAAGAGTTCAGTAATTGTAATGACATAAGCAAATCTGGTTCATGGAAGTGTTTTAATAGTAAATTACATATATTTAGAAAGTAGGTCCATCTTTGAAGTAATTTTATGGACATTTAACCCTTTGGCTTTATCTTTTGGAACAGTTTCCATAGTTAGCACCACTGGGTTAAGAATCATAAATTTCATGTACTTTAAAAGTGGAACTACTTCCTGAATACAGTTGGTTGACATGATGGCTCTCTGCTTCCTGAATATAACTGTGATCTGTGCTGAATACATTTCCTCAGCTATGAAGCAGGCAATTAACTGGGTGTGATTAGCCATGTTACTGCCACTGTAAAAAAGATATTCATCCAAGATGGTTGCTTCTGATGTCCTTGATATGTTCTCATGCTATTTGGATCAAGATTTTTGTGTTAGTGAGGTAAATTGTTGTGATAACTGCCTGAGATTAAAGGACTATGTAAAAGTTTTATTAATGGAATTAAAATCTTCGCATCAGATAACCAAGATACTGCATAAAGATCAAATTCACAAAAAATCTCAAAAGTCAAGTAAATTCTCAAAATTTTGATACCCAAGATCTCAACTAAAGTGAGTCGAATCAGAATGAAAGTAGCTAAAGCCAAACATAAAATCCAAATACTTGGTGATAGTCATGCAAGAGGATTAGCAAATGAATTAAAATATAAACTAACTTGTGATTACGAAATTCAGGGAGTGACAAAACCAGGATCGACACTGGTAAATTTGGTTAATACCACTTCATCAGACCTAAAGACTCTAACAAAGAGTGATGTTTGTATAGTATGGGGTGGCTCGAACAATGTTGGGCAAAATGAAGCAAATATGGGAATTCATGCCTTGAAACATTTTATAAGTTCCCATAAACATACAAATGTGCTTGTACTAAGCGTTCTTATTCCAAATTCTTGTGTTAACACAACGTGGACGGGCAATTTAAATCATCCTGGGGACCGGCATTATTAAACCTACTATCCTAACATGTGCACTATTCACTTTAAAAATTAATATAAAATCTCCTAATTAATTTTATGAACTAAAACGTTTGGAGAACACTTACCAATGCTCCTAGAAGTGCTTGAGAGTGTGATATTTCTGGAAACATTCCCCTTTGTGAAGTGGCATTACACAGAACTTGCTATGTAGACGGTCATACTCAATTTTCTTTTTGTGAACTGTGCAAACACGGCATTGCCTAGAAGGATGCTTCCCCTTGGAATGTTCACTCTTCACAGCTTTCACAAGGGTATGTTTCTGCATATCACCCGAGAGTCACCTTGGGGGGTCGACATGAGGCCTGCGTTGGGGTGGGAGTTGATGGGTCTGGTCGCACTAAGTCTGTGTCTAACTGGCTCTGCCGTCACCATCTGGTCTGTAGCCCAGGCCTTTGCCACATTCATCAGAAATGCTTTGTATTTCAATTTCAAATGAGGGTTTAGATTTTTGTGATTTTTCTTAGATTTTTTGCTGTCCCCGCAATGGTCCTACCCGCATTTTCGTCGGAGCTACTGTCAGTTTTACTGTCTGTAGCCACAATACTTTGTTGTCCTCTGTCACTGACACTGTCTGAGTCACCTACGCGTCTCAAGGCACGTAAGCTAGCTCATTGGAGGAGAAGAATTTATCCTTGATCCATACTCCACCACTATCTACTGGCTGGTACAAACAACTTGAAGACTGGCAAATATTTTCTGTTAGAGGGGGTTAAGGAAACAGCTAAGTCATGTTACTGAATACTAAGCAAACATTCCGGAGTCTTATTACACAGCTGCGTGGCGCCAGAGCAAGGTATAGTGTGTGACAACATAATGTGTCCTAAAATCGTGATATCATGACCAGTCCGCTACATTTAAAAGTGAAAAGCATGATATCATGCGACCGGTCCTCAGACTGTTAATAATGAAGCTAAAATATTCAATAAAACTCTAGTTAAACTAAAAAAGGCATTTCCTAATCTTTGTGTGATAACTGTGGACACTGATAGGGACCTATACAAAAACATGGCCTTAATCTAAATGCTCATGGTAAGGGACATGTAGCAAATAAAATGGCTGCTGTAATAAGTGATCTGTTTAGTCAGAAAGTGTCACCTGTGAATGCCTTAAAATGGGGGGGGGAAAGAAGACATGACGAGTTATTTGATTAAAAACCAGATCCTATGTGAAGAAGTTGATGTGAGTGGTTGGAATAAAATGATTCAGCTTCAGTCTCATCAAAAGGGTGACTGTGGGCTATATTGAGTGTGATGGGCTCACTGTGTCGAGTGAAGAAAATAGTGTGTTGACAACTCAGGTACCCAAAGAGAGTATCTGTTCAGCTAAGGGAAATAAAGAGAGTACTATGAAGAAAGTCATCTTCTGGGTTTAGGCGCCGTGTATTCTTCGTTTTCGCCGACGTTTCGGAGGAACGTATCGCCTCCACCTTCAGAGCAGGTGAATGGCTTGGAATGCAGAGAGCAGTACCTGTAGTGATAGGAAGTGAAAGGTGCTGCTTATATACGAAGTAGGCAAGGGGGGGTGGTAAGGGAGAGGGGACCAATAGGAGCAGTGGAGAGCGATTAAGGCCATGTATGGTGTTATGTGCTAAGGTTGGGGGAGGATGGCCAGTGAATCCAGGAAACTTGAGGTCAATAGCACTAGGAAGTTGTGGTAGACAAGAAGAACCTGTTGGTTGGGGACAGGCTACTGACGTCAATGACATGATTACAGGGGACAGGCTACTGACGTCAATGACATGACGAAGAACTGGTGTGGCTTGTTGGATTTCTCTTGAGGGAAGAGATGAGAGGCTTGCATGATTTGTTGAGACTGAAAGGGTTCAGTTTTACGTTTACTTTTTCGCAGCATTTTCCTTTTTCTGTCGAATACTTAACACAACACGCTTCCTTTACACCCTGACATTTTGCCAACGCACTTGAAGATCGATACAAAGAGACCAACTGGGGCGGTGTATCTGTCCTTCAAACTTTCCACAAATCCTTGCATTCTTTCACCCCTACCCTAGAACATTGTGTTAGCATAACGGGACCAAAGAATGCAGAGCTTGGGTCACACTAGTGCGAAAATAGTGTTACAACTCACCATGTGAAACAAAAGTGAATGAATATTAAACAACATATAAGCCTCAAAAAAGCCTGAGTAGCCCCGGTTAAGCTGCAAACCGGTTAATCCGCCCCCGGATAATCGAGAGTTGACTGTAATTTGAAGGATATTCGGTGTGATGAGTTTCAGTGCTACCAGCTGTCTGAAGTTGCAAACATTTATAACTGTTTTGACAGTATGCAGCTATTTGGCTTTGGTGTAGAATAATTCAAGGAAATTTGCTTCGATAAGTTTCTGTGCTACCAGCTGTCTGAAGTTGCAAACATTTAACTATTTTGGCAGTATGCAGTGATTTGGCTTTGGTGGTGATGTTCTAGGTGAAGACTTCATGTCTGATATGAGTGGAATGAGCATGCCGTCCAGCCTGGCTCCCAGTCCTACACCTAGTGACGATTCTGCTGCTCTCCCTTCAGTCAAGCACCGCAATAAATCAGTATCTCCCCACCATTCTGAGAAGGGCACAAAAAGGCGGCTTTCAACACCAGCCATTAGTAGTTTCCTAGATATGACCTTCTGGAAGAGGTAAGAGACATGCTTAATATTATTTTTTTTAACCAAGAAGAATTCTGCTGTGTCCTTTTGAACTCTGCCAGTAAAAATAATAGAATGAGGTACTAAAAATTACGAATTTTAATTGTAGAGTTTGGAGCATCTCAGCAGTTGAAAGGAAACAAAAGTTATGCTAAACTTTGGAGTACAGACGTTCCAGATGTGTCCCCCCCCCTTTTTACGAGTTTTTATTCCTCATTGGTGTCAGTGAGCTGCATTAAGTGATAAATTAATTTGTCCTTCAAGGGACACTAAAATATTCACTGAAGGTATTGCTAATGCATCTTGGATACTGTGGGTTAATGAAAAAGGATTGTAGTTACAAGTACATATTTCTCAATTACAATTTGATAAGAACATGAAGTAAGGTACGTAGTTCGAACCGTTGAGAAGCATAATGATAATTTGGAGAAGTCACAAACAGAGAGGTTGGGCAGTATCTTATCGACTGAAGCATAGCAATGGAGAACTACCAGAGAGAAGTTGAGTACATGTGATCATCGCAAGGGAGGGTAAGTAGGTATTATAGTATTATATATGTCAAATTTAATTGAATACCAATTAATTGTTTTAGATGTAGATGGGCAGGTGACCTTCCATTGTGCTATTTGCTTACACACTTGGTGCAGATGATTCATAAAAATAGATAATTTATGTTTTCATAGTTTAATAACATGAAATATTTAGTAATCATAACAGTGATTTGAAAAGAGACAACTCTGAGAACATAATCTTGAAGTTGAAGGTGGTGACAGTTTAAACTCTTGACTATATATTTTTTTGAAGAATAGGTACTCTAGTTACAAGAATTTTAGAACAGAGAGAGCATATACAAGGGTTGGAACTCCAATAGTGGCAACTATTTATTTACAGCTGATACAAAATAGATGCATATTTTGAAGTTTTACTGTCCTTCAGTGTAGCCAACAGCATTGTGTACAACCCGTTGCCAGTGATGTGGAAGTCGTAGGATACCTTTAGCAGCACCTGTTGTTTTGATAGTTCAAATGGAGTGGTCTACTGCCTGAAGAATCTCTCGAACAGTTCTGAAACGAATGCCACAAAGTGGTTCCTTCATCTTAAGAATGAAGTCGAAGTCACAAGGGCTTAAGTCCTGGGAGTATGGTGGATGGTACAGCACTTCCCAGCCCCATCGATCGAACAAATCAGCCACAGCTTGCGCTGCATGCGGCCTGCTGGGGTTCTGATGACCTTTTGATTTTCGTGGTGCCCTGTAATGACGCCATTCATTCGATTGGCGTTTCATTTGTGGCTCGTACGATTTGGCCCATGTCTCATCACAGTGTAAGGAAGCCTCTCCTTCACGCTCATAGCGCTCCAAGTGGTTATGAGCAGCGTCATATCGTAGCCATTTCTGCATTTCCATCAAATCATGCAGAACCCATCGTGATGCAGTTTTTCTCATGCCCAGGCATTCCTTCAGAATGTGAAGCACAGTCGTATGCACTAATCCTGTCTCTCGGGCCAGCTCACAAATTGTATGGCATTGATCACGCTCCAGGAATGTGGAAAGATCATACACTTCTTCACTGACACTAGGACAACCTGGCCGACGCTTGTCTGCCACATTTTGGTGTCCCTAGTTGAAGGCTTTTACCCACCTTGCCACTGTTCTGTAAAGCAATGCAGATTCCCTGCAAGCCTCTTGAAGACCTTGATGACACTGTCATGCTGTACGGCCTCTGGCACATTCTATCTTTATCCAAGTCCATTGTTCCTGTTTTGCAAACATCGTGACAACACTACATTAGACCGCCAGCTAACACGAGGCTCTGTTCTTCTCGTCACTGCGAATGTGCATGGTATGGGAAGGGAGAGTCCATTTGCTCTGAGGTAAGGTGGGTATGTAACTAACGTGTGGTATAAGCGACATTATTTGGTTCCATTGCATGGCATCTCTAAAGCAGTGTTGCCACTATTATAGTTCCAACCATCGTATAAATTTACATGTGTTGGGAGATAGGTAATGGAAGTTAACATCCTTCTGTTTAAAAGGTGGTTGCATTTAATAATTTTATAATACAGTTCGTGCACATAATTTTAGAGGATATAGTGTTACATTGAGTCCTTGTATTACCAGTCCAAATTTTTAATTTAATCTCCCATGTTTGTTTTGTTTAGGGAAAAGGTTTGCTGTGGCATAATATTCAAAGGACCTTATGGTGCAGTAATAGTAGATCCTCGGTTCCTGAAACCTTGTCGTGGATGTAAGAATCAGCAGCAAGAGAAGGCAGCCCTTATGTCTTCTGGTATGGGCAACAGTTCTGGTGACAGTACTGCAAGTGGACGTGAGAACAGGAGCAGTGATATGAAAGGTATCAAGTTAGCAAAATCGTACAGTGACTCCTCCTCAGACTCTGGTTATGATGAATCTTCAAATCAGGGCGTAGGAGAAGGTGGTCACCACAGGTCCAACGCCACAGGCAGGAAGAGTGTTGGTCAAGAAGAGGCTACTGCAGCTTCCAATCCTCTGGCAGAATTTGCAATGCATGCTGCAAGTCGGTGCCAACAAGAAGTTGGGGAACAACCTAATTAACGAAAGTTCACACATAGAATTATCGTAATTTATTACTTCATTAATGACTTATGTATTTGTGTAATCCTCAGAACTGCTGTTCCAGATGCCAATCAGTCAGTGTTGGGTCCAAAACAAAGGCATGTTTTTCTTTTGCCTGTCCTCATTTCATGATAAGTATGGGATTTTTTATGATTCATGTATTCTTTACATGGAATTAAAAACTGTTGGAGAAGCAATAACAGACCCCTTCCTTGATTGTGCAGCATATCAGATGAAACCCTTGCTCTTAGGAGAGACAGGTGTCACAAATGAATTGTGTCTTCAGTATTGTACTGCCATCACCACTGTGCTTACAAGGTATTTTAGTAAAGCAAGTGGAATTTTTGACATAAAATTGTAAATTAAAAAATAAATATATTAAGTTCCTAATTGGATGGAAATGAACGAATGCATTGCTGAATTCAACACAAGGCAGGGAATTAGGCCAATGTATAGGTTGTGTTCACTGTTACATGACAGATGATTCATTGGCTTTCTGTGGAAAATTGTTACTTCTACTTGTATGTTTACAATTGAAATTCTAGACGCCAAATCAAATGGGAAGATTAATAGGTGTACAGTAGAATATTATGTAAGGTACTGGATATTTATAAGTGTTGATATTCTCTCATGCATTTGAATTGTAGCTCATTTGCATGGCAGATTCATCACATTGACAGGTTTGTAGGTTTTTACAGAAATACATGCTGGAATCCTATCACACACTTCCACGTTCTGCAGCACACTGTATTGGATTTGTAATATTTTGACATTTATTGCAGTATGCTAAGAATTGCAGAACAGTTAAAGAGGGGATTTTAACATGACAGAGGCTGCTGACACATATTATTGGCAGCAAGATATTTTTTCTTGGTAGAGAGCAAATACTCAGATTGGTATGGATTTTTTTATAAAAAGATCAATATCTAGTCTCAAGAATAACACTTACCTTCAAGAATCTACTCCGCATTACCATAGTACGTGTTTCTACCCGTTGCCTCCCATGTGTGTGGATGAGACTGTCATCCATGTTTTGATGTTTGAAGGAAATGCAGATGAAAGTGCATGTTGAATCTCAAGGTGTGGTGTTACAAGACTCTATGATTCTGGAGTGAAAAGAAGTATTATTGTTACATCCCTCATGTTATTGTAATCTCCTGTTGTAGCAGCAGAGTGAAAGTGGTTTTTCACGAAGTATTTATTACTGGTGTGACAATTTTAACACAGTACCTTAAGAGACTGATGAAGGAATCAAGTGTATTAACTACCAGTAACCAAATTGGTTACAAAACTGCTACTGCCATAATCACAAAGGATTTATTTAGCACCTTTTCAGGAACCATTTTTTGTGTATTGTGATCTCATATATTATTATATGCAGGATATGCTTGCCCAGTTAGTTTTAGAAACATTTGATATAGGGATGTGTGAACAGTGAAATACACAGTACTCTTATAAGCCACCTTAAAGGAAAAGAAATTGAATGTCTCCCCCCTACCACCCCCAGATGTTTTCGCAGAGGTTTTGTACCTCTGCATGTACATGTCGTGGTAGGTAAAGAAGATCAGGATTAGAGGAGCTCCTTAATGTTTCCACACATTTCATGAAATCTGCAGTTTCAAGTCAGCAAGAATGAATGCATTTTTAAACAACAACCAACAAAAAAAAACTCCATGGCTTTAGTCTGCAAGCGAACTATACCGACTGAGTGACTGCTGCTTGTCGGCAAAGTCAGTGTCAACTTTAGTGGATAGAGGGTGTTGCGTGGTGAACGCAACGATTCCCCACAGCCATTAATTTCAGTTTTCTAGACTGGAGGCACTACTTTTCCATTCAAGTAGCTCCTCAGTTGTCCTCATGAGGCTGAGTGGGCCCTGTAACAGAACTACTACTACTCAGAAAATCTGGTAGTGCCGGGGAATCGAACCTGGGACCTCTGGATCTGTAGCCAGGAACTCTGACCACTAGACCACAGAGACTGGCTTTCAAATTTGAAAAGAATATAATCATTTTGGATAGTCTATTTTAGTGTTGTTTCTTTTTGTCCAGGTCATTTACTTGATTATACTAAAACTGGAACAAAACAGTTCATTCTGGTATGCATACCAGAACAGGAGATAGTAGCTGGGGATACTGACAGTTTCCATTTCCTTTTGATATGCAGTTTGTGATCTGTGAAGTATGAAGATACCAAATCATAAATTGTTACACATGTCTTGCTGTAGTTTACCATGATTCCAGAGTCCTGTCTTGAATCCTTCAGTCCTTACATTGTCCTACTCTTATCAATATGTCATGACCATCTGTAGTGTATGTATGTTACAAGACTGTCTAGTTCTGGAGATTACTTAAACCTTTACTTTTTCCCATTATGGTAGAACATTATGAAATTAACCCTTATTGGCTGTATGTTGCACTATTATGTGGTTTACCAGGCTGAGTATTGCAATATTATGGTGATTGTCACATCCCTTTATTTTAAAGTGGCTTGTAACAGCAGTGACAGTGGATTTTTGTCCATTGCTCTATGGAGATTTCTATTATGCTTCCCTGCTTGAGTTATTTGGAGAAACTACAATGAAACAGCCTTGTTGGACATTCGAAGTGAGCTTAACAAATACAGTATAGCGGCAGGTGATGTGAGTAATGTGAGTGGATGTTGAGAAAAAATTGAATCAGGATGCAACATCCTTGGAATCTTGATGGTGCCCCTCCTCTCATCATAGTTATGCATGATTTGAGGATACAAGAGGCACCCCACATGCATAAAGATTTATCCCTGATTAGGCTTTCTCCTTTACTTCATGATAGATCTCAATAAGTCTGGTAAGTCATGGCCACTGTCCAGATCTACCATCCCTGCATCATCAGGAAAGATATCGAACTAACCTCATGACTTTAATCCAGCTTTGAACCACTTTCATCCAGTAGTCGCTGAACTCCATTCCTGTCAGTGGAGAGAAAATGAGAAAAAAAGAATGTAATAAACAAGAAAATCTTGGGTCACCTCATGTGTTGAATGTGGGGTCCCTGAAATGTTTCTTCCACCTGGTTGCCAGAACATTTTTCTCCATTCATTAGCAATATGGAAACTACTCCTTGATTAGTGTCCCACTTCTCTGTTCATCCACCCACAGCCTCACCTTCACATTTCTTAATGCAAGAACTGTATGAGGTACCAAACCCATCCCAGAGTTACTCATAACTTTGAAGGTGGCTACTGCAAGGTTGGTTGAAAGGGAAGACCCTCTACATTCATTGCAGCCTAGTCCTGAATTCCAAATCCATGTTATATGCACCATTTAGACTAACATGATGAAACTTGGTGGATTTTTTTTCATGTATTGATATTTCTGCATTTTTGTAACAATGTGTGTCTGATAAGTGCTCAGTGATACATACGAAGGACCAGAAGGAACAAAGAGTGTGCGTGAAATTTTGCTTTCTGTTAGGGAAAACTGCACTTCACTCTTCAAGTCGCGGCAGAGATTCACGCGGTTTTCTCTTTGGTCATCTCCAAGCAAGCGAGGAACAAATTTTGCAGACACCCGTCTCATGTGCAAACCTTCGGTTAAAATTCGCTGGATCGTGCTCCATGAGATGTTCGTTTCCTCAGAAAGTTGGTCAATGGTCTTTCGACGATCTTCATCAATTTCACGCACACTCTTTGTTCCTTCTGGTCGGCCATCTCACTAATCGCCAAAGGGTTGAAACAGGAACGCACACAACAGAGCACCACAGACAAACCACTTAACTCAGACTGACGCCAGCTCACTAACAGTCGCGGGAGACCCCCAGCTAACACCACCTAGCAGCACAACTCGTAACTACAAAGCATGTGCGCACAACAGGTCGTTTCCGGTTATTTTTGGGTCCCCCCTCGTATGCTGTTGTAGTAGTGCTCCTCAGAAGGATCTGTTCTCGAGCATACTTTGGTATGAAGATTTACAAAATGTGACATGACTGGGTACACTTATGATTCAATTCAATTCAGTTTATTTCAAATTCAAGCAGATCCAGATACAGGTTGGGAAATGAATTCACAAAGCATTGGATATAGAATGGGTCACTCCAATTGATCATTGTAACAAGTCATGGTAATCATAATATCTAATATACATAACACAGCTATTGAACACAATTGAATATAATGACAATAAAATTAAAAAAAAAACATTAACCATTCATACAATAAAATTCCTCCAATTTATAAAAATGCGAAACCAATTATTGTCTTAAAGAACTCTTAAATGATATGAAAATGGACTTGGGAAAGGACAGGCAGATGTACATACAATGGTTAGCTACATATGTTACAATGAAAAATTCTTACCAGGACGTTACAGTGGATTGACCACACACACTTTACATGGACAACTTGTTTTCCTCTCCGTATTTACTTAATAATCTGCACATTAATGCTGTCACCTGTTATGGGTGTCTTGAACAAAATATTAAAAGAGATGCAGTGGGTTTTGACAGCACATCTAAGATCAAAAGAATGATGTGCTATTGTGAGAAGTAACTTGACAAGAATTTTTTATCAGTTGATTTCAAGTATATTGAGTAGCTATGTACTGTGATAAAAAATAAGACTGTCTGATTTTGGTTCAGAATTTTTTGGAAATGAATGGAAGGGAGCCACATCCTCTGTCCAAAAAGGAAGACCATACCCACAAGTTTCATGGCATTGAAACATGATACATAACTGGTAGCAAGATATGTTTTTTGTATCTTACTCAGTCAAGAAGAAACAAATATCAAGTTTTTCAGCATTAGGAGTGCTGAATCAGCCTATATATGCACCCATGTTTTCAAATTCATGAGGCAGAGATATAAATTAGAATTCCATCTTGGCATAGTTTTCAGTATATGGGAAGTTTTGGTAGGGTTAGCCAGTTCATTTTCCAGCAATTACAGTTTACTGAACTTGTGAAGTTCTCAGTCAAGTTAAAGTCTGTGTTATCTGTTTTGATTTCAGTTAGTTCACACATCCAGTGTAAATGTACTGCATCCACTGGAATGAGTATGTTCTACTGAATATAATACATTTAAGTTTGCTGCTAAATAATAAGACTCCATTAATAAGTAAGATGTTAGCATTCTGTTGATTAAACACAATAGACCAGTGTGGGTCGCGGTGCAAAGGCTTAGGAGGCCTACCCCTTTTACATTGTGTTGATTGGAATGAGGTAAAAAT